CGCCACCATGTCTGGCTAATTTTTGTATTTTTAATAGAGTTGAGGTTTCATCCTGTTGGCCAGGCTGGTCTTGAATTCCTGACCTCAGGTGATCCACCCACCTCGGCCTCCCAAAGGGCTGGGTTTACAGGCTTGAGCTACTGCGTCTGGCCCTATCTCCTTTTTAAAACGGCATTAGCAGCTTTCTGTATTGTATATCAAATAATATTGTAGAGATGGCATAATAAAAACATCACCTCTGTAAGGGTTGGTTCATGTATTGTTACAAAGAATGAGACCCTTCAAGAGGAACTCTATTATTAGTGTTCAGGATCTGAGTTCACCACCATTTCCAACCAAAACTGGATGGGCTGTGTAAGTCAAGAGTTGTAAAAAGAATAAAATGGTCTCTAGGTTAAGACCAACACACTTTTACACAATTGCTTATGGCCACCTCAGGAAATAAAGATTTCTCATTTCAAAATATTGTTATAATTAACAATGATATTAATGCCTATGCTGGTTGTATGGAAAATTACAGGGCAAGAAAACAAATATTGCAAAGTCACTTTCTCAGGAAAAATCTTAATCTCTCCACAATGACTAAATATATCAGTAATCAGTTAGCTATGAACCTAATAAATTTGCTGTCTAGTAATACTGGCTACACTGAGAGGACAGGCACCATGAGTAGTAGACATGATGCCCTGAGCTAGTAAATGAAAACACATTTCATTTGTTATACTGCCATCTGATTTTCAAAGTTTTAATAATTATTTACTTGAATCTAAGATATCATCAGTTGAAAGGAGTCCAATTTCAGAAATGTTAAAATATAGAAAAACAGCATCATCAAGTTGCTAAAATGTGCTAATTTCACATTATATAATAAACAGGAATATTCTAATTGCTAATTTTCTAGAGATATTTTTCATAAAATAGTTGAGCATCTGATAGGGCATATGAATCCATTATAACATTTCCTTCTATGGGCACAGGCTTCCCTTGGCCCATTCTGAGAAAGAACTAGAAAAACACTGTTACAAGTAAACATTCATATTATCATTGTGTATCATTAGCTTTTAAGATTTATTTTATATGCTACCAGTCTTTTTTTAAGGCATAAAAATTACAAGCAAAGCTCAAGTCTCCTTTTAATCAACAGCCTCAAATTCAATCTCCAAAGACAATGCTATCAATAATTGGGTATGTATCCTTCTATTCTATTTTAAATAGTTTAACATACACTTTTCAATAATAGAAACAGTTGTTCTTTATAAATGATTTCATTCCAATTTACATAAATATTATTATACAATGTTTCATTTGTATTTTGATTTTTTTACTCAACATTGTTTTAACTATCCATGTTATACAATACGGATCTGAGTCACTGTTTTAAGTGCTGTATACTATTCTATCATTTGAATATATCATATTTTATTCATCATTACCCCAATGACGAATAGGTTATTTTCAAGGCAGATATATGTCTATATATTTCTTTTTTTTAAGAGATTGGGTCTTGCTATGTTTCCCAGGCTGGTCTTGAACTCCTGAGCTCAAGTTATCTTCTTATATCAGCCTCCAAAGTAGCTGGGATTATGGGCATGTGCCACTGCATCTGGTTATACATACGTACATATATCATATAAATATTTCTTATGCATTATTTGTGAGTTTCTATAGGATGTATACCTAGAAGTGGAATAACAGAGTCCTTTTTTTTTTTTTTTTTTTTTTTTTAAAAAAAAAGGCTCCCTGGCCTCAACGTCATAGACAATAACCTCTATTTTCTTCCAATGGTTTCAGTTTGGCTTTTCAGATTCCAGTATTTAAATCCTTTAGAATATTAATCTTTTGGACAGGCACAGTGGCTCAAGCCTCTAAACCCCAGCACTTTGGGACGCCAAAGAGGGCAGATCTCTTGAGGTCAGGAGTTCAAGACTAGCCTGGCCAACATGGTGAAATCCCATCTCTACTAAAAACACACACACAAAAAAAAAAAAGGAACCCAGGAGGCAGAACGGCTGCAGTGAGCTGAGATTGCACCACTGTACTCCAGCCTGGACGACAGAGTGAGACCTTTGTCTCAAAAAAAAAAAAAAAAAAAATATGATTTGTTTTTTACTATGTCATAAAGTAGTAATTATGGTTCCTCTAAGACGGGGAGTCAAAGATACCCAGCAATTTTATTGACTAGGTCATCATTTCCCTACTAATTCATGATGTCAGGTCTAACATACCCCAAGTTCACATATATTCATGAGTCTGCTT